TGAAAGTAAATGACAGTAGATACAAAGACAATAGTGCTTTCGCTGAAAGTAAATGACAGTAGATACAAGACAATAGTGCTTTATTGAAAGTAAATGACAGTAGATACAAAGATAATAGTGCTTATTGAAAGTAAAATGACAGTAAAGTAAATGACAGTAGATAAAAGACAATAGTGCTTGGCTGAAAGTAAATGACAGTAGATAAAAGACAATAGTGCTTGGCTGAAAGTAAATGACAGTAGATACAAAGACAATAGTGCTTCACTGAAAGTAAATGACAGTAGATACAAAAGACAATAGTGCTTCGCTGAAAGTAAATGACAGTAGATAAAAGACAATAGTGCTTCGCTGAAAAGTAAATGACAGTAGATAATAAAGACAATAGTGCTTCACTGAAAGTAAATGACAGTAGATACAAAGACAATAGTGCTTACTGAAAGTAATGACAGTAGATAAAGACAATAGTGCTTGGCTGAAAGTAAATGACAGTAGATACAAAGACAATAATTAGCTTAGAAAGTAAATGACAGTAGATACAAAGACAATAGTGCTTGGCTGAAAGTAAATGACAGTAGATACAAAGACAATAGTGCTTGGCTGAAAGTAAATGACAATAGATACTGAAAGACAATAGTGCTTTGTGCTGAAAGTAAATGACAGTAGATACAAAGACAATAGTGCTTGCTTGCTGAAAGTAAATGACAGTAGATACAAAGACAATAGTTGCTTCACTGAAAGTAAATGACAGTAGATACAAAGACAATAGTGCTTGGCTGAAAGTAAATGACAGTAGATACAAAGACAATAGTGCTTCGCTGAAAGTAAATGACAGTAGATAAAGACAATAGTGCTCGCTGAAAGTAAATGACAGTAGATAAAAGACAATAGTGCTTCATTGAAAGTAAATGACAGTAGATACAAAGACAATAGTGCTTGGCTGAAAGTAAATGACAGTAGATACAAAGACAATAGTGCTTGGCTGAAAGTAAAATGACAGTAGATACAAAGACAATAGTGCTTCGAAAGTAAATGACAGTAGATACAAAGACAATAGTGCTTGGCTGAAAAGTAAATGACAGTAGATACAAAGACAATAGTGCTTATTGAAAGTAAATGACAGTAGATAAAGACAATAGTGCTTCACTGAAAGTAAATGACAGTAGATAAAGACAATAGTGCTTCGCTGAAAGTAAATGACAGTAGATACAAAGACAATAGTGCTTTGGCTGATAGTAAATGACAGTAGATACAAAGACAATAGTGCTTGCCTGAAAGTAAATGACAGTAGATACAAAGACAATAGTGCTTCACTGAAAGTAAATGACAGTAGATACAAAGACAATAGTGCTTCATTGAAAGTAAATGACAGTAGAAAGACAAAAAGTGCTTTGGCTGAAAGTAAATGACAGTAGATAAAAGACAATAGTGCTTATTGAAAGTAAATGACAGTAGATACAAAGACAATAGTGCTTCGCTGAAAGTAAATGACAGTAGATACAAAGACAATAGTGCTTCGCTGAAAGTAAATGACAGTAGATACAAAGACAATAGTGCTTCACTGAAAGTAAATGACAGTAGATACAAAGACAAAAGTGCTTGGCTGAAAGTAAATGACAGTAGATACAAAGACAATAGTGCTTCACTGAAAGTAAATGACAGTAGATACAAAGACAATAGTGCTTGGCTGAAAGTAAATGACAGTAGATACAAAGACAATAGTGCTTCGCTGAAAGTAAATGACAGTAGATACAAAGACAATAGTGCTTCGCTGAAAGTAAATGACAGTAGATACAAAGACAATAGTGCTTATTGAAAGTAAATGACAGTAGATACAAAGACAATAGTGCTTGCTGAAAGTAAATGACAGTAGATACAAAGACAATAGTGCAGTAGATACAAAGACAATAGTGCTTCGCTGAAAGTAAATGACAGTAGATACAAAGACAATAGTGCTTCGCTGAAAGTAAATGATGTAGATACAAAGACAATAGTGCTTCGCTGAAAGTAAATGACAGTAGATACAAAGACAATAGTGCTTGCTGAAAGTAAATGACAGTAGATACAAAGACAATGGTGCTTCTGAAGTAAATGACGGTAGATACAAAGACAATAGTGCTTCGCTGAAAGTAAATGACAGTATGCAAAGACAATGGTGCTTGGCTGAAAGTAAATGACAGTAGATACAAAGACAATAGTGCTTCGCTGAAAGTAAATGACAGTAGATACAAAGACAATAGTGTGGCTGAAAGTAAATGACAGTAGATACAAAGACAATAGTGCTTGGCTGAAAGTAAATGACAGTAGATACAAAAGACAATAGTGCTTCGCTGAAAGTAAATGACAGTAGATACAAAGACAATAGTGCTTCGCTGAAAGTAAATGACAGTAGATACAAAGACAATAGTGCTTCGCTGAAAGTAAATGACAGTAGATACAAAGACAATAGTGCTTGGGTTGAAAGTAAATGACAGTAGATACAAAGACAATAGTGCTTGGCTGAAAGTAAATGACAGTAGATACAAAGACAATAGTGCTTCGCTGAAAGTAAATGACAGTAGATACAAAGACAATAGTGCTTGGCTGAAAGTAAATGACAGTAGATACAAAGACAATAGTTAGTGGAGTAAATGAAAGATAAAAGACAATAATAGATAAAGTAAATGACAGTAGATGCAAAGACAATAGTTTCACTGAAAGTAAATGACAGTAGATACAAAGACAATAGTGCTTCGCTGAAAGTAAATGACAGTAGATACAAAAGACAATAGTGCTTGAAAGTAAATGAAAGATAAAACAATGGTGACAGTAAATGACAGATACAAAGACAATAGTGCTTCGCTGAAAGATAAATGACAGTAGATACAAAGAGATATAGTGCTTCGCTGAAAGTAAATGACAGTAGATACAAAGACAATAGGTTTCGCTGAAAGTAAATGACAGTAGATACAAAGACAATAGTGCTTCATTGAAAGTAAATGACAGTAGATACAAAGACAATAGTGCTTGGCTGAAAGTAAATGACAGTAGATACAAAGACAATAGTGCTTCGCTGAAAGTAAATGACAGTAGATACAAAGACAATAGTGCTTGGCTGAAAGTAAATGACAGTAGATACAAAGACAATAGTGCTTTCGCTGAAAGTAAATGACAGTAGATAAATGAAAGACAATAATGCTTCACTGAAAGTAAATGACAGTAGATAAAGACAATAGTGCTTTATTGAAAGTAAAATGACAGTAGATACAAAGACAATAGTGCTTCGCTGAAAGTAAATGACAGTAGATACAAAGACAATAGTGCTTCGCTGAAAGTAAATGACAGTAGATACAAAGACAATAGTGCTTGGCTGAAAGTAAATGACAGTAGATACAAAGACAATAGTGCTTCACTGAAATAGTAAAAATGACAGTAGATACAAAGACAATAGTGCTTCACTGTAAATGACAGTAGATACAAAGACAATAGTGCTTGGCTGAAAGTAAATGACAGTAGATACAAAGACAATAGTGCTTGGCTGAAAGTAAATGACAGTAGATACAAAGACAATAGTGCTTGGCTGAAAGTAAATGACAGTAGATACAAAGACAATAGTGCTTGGCTGAAAGTAAATGACAGTAGATACAAAGACAATAGTGCTTCACTGAAAGTAAATGACAGTAGATACAAAGACAATAGTGCTTGGCTGAAAGTAAATGACAGTAGATACAAAGACAATAGTGCTTGGCTGAAAGTAAATGACAGTAGATACAAAGACAATAGTGCTTGGCTGAAAGTAAATGACAGTAGATAAAAGACAATAGTGCTTCGCTGAAAGTAAATGACAGTAGACAAAGACAATAGTGCTTTGGCTGAAAGTAAATGACAGTAGATACAAAAGACAATAGTGCTTAGTGAAAGTAAATGACAGTAGATACAAAAGACAATAATTAGCGGCTGAAAGTAAATGACAGTAGATACAAAGACACAATGCTTCACTGAAATGACAGTAGAAAAAGTAAATGACAGTAAATGACAGTAGATACAAAGACAATAGTGCTTCATTGAAAGTAAATGACAGTAGATAAAGACAATAGTGCTTCGCTGAAAGTAAATGACAGTAGATACAAAAGACAATAGTGCTTATTGAAAGTAAATGACAGTAGATACAAAGACAATAATGCTTGGCTGAAAGTAAATGACAGTAGATACAAAGACAATAGTGCTTGGCTGAAAGTAAATGACAGTAGATACAAAGACAATAGTGCTTGGCTGAAAGTAAATGACAGTAGATACAAAGACAATAGTGCTTGGCTGAAAGTAAATGACAGTAGATACAAAGACAATAGTGCTTGCTGAAAGTAAATGACAGTAGATAAAAGACAATAGTGCTTCGCTGTAAATGACAGTAGATAAAAGACAATAGTGCTTGGCTGAAAGTAAATGACAGTAGATACAAAGACAATAGTGCTTCGCTGAAAGTAAATGACAGAAACAAGTAAATAAATGACAGTAGATACAAAGACAATAGTGCTTGGCTGAAAGTAAATGACAGTAGATAAAAGACAATAGTGCTTCGCTGAAAGTAAATGACAGTAGATACAAAGACAATAGTTCACTGGGAAAGTAAATGACAGATAAGACAGTAAAGAAATACAAGATACAAAGACAATAGTGCGGCTGAAAGTAAATGACAGTAGATACAAAGACAATAGTGCCTGAAAGTAAATGACAGTAGATACAAAGACAATAGTGCTTCGCTGAAAGTAAATGACAGTTGAGATACAAAGACAATAGTGCTTATTGATAGTAAATGACAGTAGATACAAAGACAATAGTGCTTACTGAAAGTAAATGACAGTAGATAAAGACAATAGTGCTTCGCTGAAAGTAAATGACAGTAGATACAAAGACAATAGTGCTTGGCTGAAAGTAAATGACAGTAGATACAAAGACAATGAAAGTAAATGACAGTAGATACAAAGACAATAGTGCTTGGCTGAAAGTAAAAAGACAATAAAAGTTCACTGAAAGACAGTAGATACAAAGACAATAGTGCTTCGCTGAAAGTAAATGACAGTAGATACAAAGACAATAGTGCTTGGCTGAAAGTAAATGACAGTAGATAGAAGAAGACAATAGTGCTTCGCTGAAAGTAAATGACAGTAGATACAAAGACAATAGTGCTTCGCTGAAAGTAAATGACAGTAGATACAAAGACAATAGTGCTTCGCTGAAAGTAAATGACAGTAGATAAAGACAATAGTGCTTCGCTGAAAGTAAATGACAGTAGATACAAAGACAATAGTGCTTCGCTGAAAGTAAATGACAGTAGATACAAAGACAATAGTGCTTTGGCTGAAAGTAAATGACAGTAGATACAAAAGAATAGTGCTTCGCTGAAAGTAAATGACAGTAGATACAAAGACAATAGTAGATAAAGACTTCGCTGAAAGTAAATGACAGTAGATACAAAGACAATAGTGCTTCACTGAAAGTAAATGACAGTAGATACAAAGACAATAGTGCTTCGCTGAAAGTAAATGACAGTAGATACAAAGACAATAGTGCTTCACTGAAAGTAAATGACAGTAGATACAAAGACAATAGTGTTGGCTGAAAGTAAATGACAGTAGATACAAAGACAATAGTGCTTCACTGAAAGTAAATGACAGTAGATACAAGACAATAGTTAGCTTTGGCTGAAAGTAAATGACAGTAGATACAAAGACAATAGTGCTTATTTGAAAAGTAAATGACAGTAGATACAAAGACAATAATTAGCTTGCTGAAAGTAAATGACAGTAGATACAAAGACAATAGTGCTTCGCTGAAAGTAAATGACAGTAGATACAAAGACAATAGTGCTTCACTGAAAGTAAATGACAGTAGATACAAAGACAAAAGTGCTTATTGAAAGTAAATGACAGTAGATACAAAGACAATAGTGACAGTGGAAATAAATGACAGATACAAAGACAATAGTGCTTCGCTGAAAGTAAATGACAGTAGATACAAAGACAATAGTGCTTCCACTGAAAAGTAAATGACAGTAGATACAAAGACAATAGTGCTTACTGAAAGTAAATGACAGTAGATACAAAGACAATAAGTGCTTCACTGAAAGTAAATGACAGTGATACAAAGACAATAGTGCTTGGCTGAAAGTAAATGACAGTAGATACAAAGACAATGCTTCACTGAAAGTAAATGACAGTAGATACAAAGACAATAAAGCTTCGCTGAAAGTAAATGACAGTAGATACAAAGACAATAGTGCTTCAGTAGATACAAAGACAATAGAAAGTAAATGACAGTAGATACAAAGACAATGGTGCTTCGCTGAAAAGTAAATGACAGTAGATACAAAGACAATAATTAACGGCTGAAGTAAATGACAGTAGATACAAAGACAATAGTGCTTCGCTGAAAGTAAATGACAGTAGATACAAAGACAATAGTGCTTCGCTGAAAGTAAATGACAGTAGATACAAAGACAATAGTGCTTGGCTGAAAGTAAATGACAGTAATATGACAGTAAATGACAGTAGATAAAAGACAATAGTGCTTGGCTGAAAGTAAATGACAGTAGATACAAAGACAATAGTGCTTGGCTGAGTAAATGACCCAGTAGATACAAAGACAATAGTGCTTGGCTGAAAGTAAATGATGTAGATACAAAGACAATAGTGCTTCACTGAAAGTAAATGACAGTAGATAAAGACAATAGTGCTTCGCTGAAAGTAAATGACAGTAGATACAAAGACAATAATTAGCGGCTGAAGTAAATGACAGTAGATACAAAAGACAATATGAATTAGCGGCTGAAAGTAAATGACAGTAGATACAAAGACAATAGTGCTTATTGAAAGTAAATGACAGTAGATACAAAGACAATAATTAGCGATGCTAAAGACAAATGACAGCTGAAAGTAAATGATAATAGATTAAGCTACAGTGCTGAACTGAGTAAATGACAGTAGATACAAAGAGACAATAGTGCTTCTAAGCTAATGAAATGACAGTAGATACAAAGACAATAAGTGCTTCGCTGAAAGTAAATGACATAGATACAAAAGAAAATAATTACTTCACTGAAAGTAAATGACAGTAGATAAAAAGACAATAGTGCTTCACTGAAAGTAAATGACAGTAGATAAGAAAGACAATAGAACGGCTGAAGTAAATGACAGTAGAAAAGACAATAGTGCTTCGCTGAAAGTAAATGACAGTAGATACAAGACAATAGTGCCTGCTGAAAGTAAATGACAGTGAATACAAAGACAATAAAAAGCTTGGCTGAAAGTAAATGACAGATAGATACAATAGACAATAAATGACTTGGCTGAAAGTAAATGACCAGTAGATACAAAGACAATAGTGCTGAAAGTAAATGACAGATACAAAGACAATAGTGCTTGGCAAAGTAAATGACAGTAGATACAAAGACAATAGGTGCTTCACTGAAAGTAAATGACAGTAGATACAAAGACAATAGTGCTTGGCTGAAAGTAAATGACAGTAGATACAAAGACAATAGTTAGAAAGTAAATGCTGAAGAAAGTAAATGACAGTAGATACCAAAGACAATAGTGCTTGGCTGAAGAAATAAATGACGAAGACAATAGTGCTTGGCTGATAGTAAAGAGATACAATAGTGCTTTGGCTGAAAGTAAATGACAGTAGATACAAAGACAATAATTAGCTTATTGAAAGTAGTGAAAGTAAATGAAAGTGCAAGTAGATAAAAAGAATAGTGCTTCGCTGAAAGTAAATGACAATGAATACAAAGACAATAGTGCTTCGCTGAAAGTAAATGTGACAGTAGATACAAAGACAATAGTGCTTGGCTGAAAGTAAATGATAGTAGATAAAAGACAATAGTGCTTGGCTGAAGAGTAAATGACAGTAGATACGAAGATTAATAATAGTGTTTGTGAAGTAAATGACGGTAGATACAAGACAATAGTGCTTCGCTGAAAGTAAATGACAGTAGATTCAAAGACAATAGTGCTTGGCTGAAAGTAAATGACAGATACCAAAGACAATAGTGCTTGGCTGATAGTAAATGACAGTGAATACAAAAGACAATAGTGCTTCGAAAGTAAATGACAGTAGATAAAGACAATAATTGTTTCACTGAGTAATGACAGTAGATAAAAGACAATAATTGCTTGGCTGAAAGTAAATGACAGTAGATACAAAGACAATAGTGCTTCGCTGAAAGTAAATGACAGTAGATTCAAAGACAATAGTGCTGATAAATGACAGTAGATAAAAGACAATGATACAAACAAAAGACAATAGTGCTTGGAAAGTAAATGACAGTAGATACAAAGACAATAATTAGCTACTGGAAAGTAAATGACAGTAGATACAAAAGACAATATGCTTCATGAAAGTAAATGACAGTAGATAAAAGACAATAGTGAAAGTAAATGACTGATACAAAGACAAAATGACAGTAGATACAAAGAACAAAAGTGCTTGGCTGAAAGTAAATGACAGTAGATACAAAGACAATGGTGCTAGCTGAAAGTAAATGACAGTAGATAAAAAGACAATGATTATTGAAAGTAAATGACGGTAGATACAAAGACAATAGTGCTTCACTGAAAGTAAGCGACAGATACAAAGACAAAAGTGCTTGGCTGAAAGTAAATGACGGTAGATACAAAGACAATAGTGCTTCACTGAAAGTAAATGACAGTAGATAAAAGACAATGGTGCTTCCTTTGAAAGAAATGACAGTAGATACAAAGACAATAGTGCTTCGCTGAAAGTAAGTGACAGTAGATAATAAAGAACAATAATTAGCAGCTGAAAGTAAATGAAAGTAGATAAAGACAATAGTGCTTCACTGAAAAGTAAATGACAGTAGATACAAAGAGACAATGATTAGTGTTCCTTTGAAAAGTAAATGATGTAGTTGATAAAGACAATGAAAGTAAATGACAGTAGATACAAAGACAATAGTGCTTTATATGAAAGTAAATGACAGTAGATAAAGACAATAGTGCTTCGCTGAAAGTAAATGACAGTAGATACAAAGACAATAGTGCTTTCAAAGTAAATGACAGTAGTAAAAGACAATGGTAGTGACAGTAGATACAAAGACAATAGTGCTTTGGCTGAAAGTAAATGACAGTAGATACAAAGACAATAGTGCTTCACTGAAAGTAAATGACAGTAGATACAAAAGACAATAGTGCTTCGCTGAAAGTAAATGACAGTAGATACAAAGACAATAGTGCTTGGTAGATACTGAAAGTAAATGACAGTAGATACAAAGACAATAGTGCTTCACTGAAAGTAAATGACAGATAATAAAGACAATAGTGCTTCACTGGAAGTAAATGACAGTAGATACAAAGACAATAGTGCTACTGAAAGTAAAAATGATAGTAGATACAAAGACAATAGTGCTTCAATGAATTACTTGAAAGTAAAATGACAGTAGATACAAAGACAATGGTGTTCTTCGCTGAAAGTAAATGACAGATACAAAGACAATAATTAGTGGCACAGAAAGTAAATGATAGATACAAAAGACAATAGTGCTTGGCTGAAAGTAATGGACAGTAGATACCAAAGACAATAGTGTAGCTGAAAGTAAATGACAGTAGATACAAAGACAATAGTGCTTCGCTGAAAGTAAATGACAGTAGATACAAAGACAATAGTGCTTGGCTGAAAAGTAAATGATGTAGATACAAAGACAATAATTAACTTACTGAAAGTAAAATGACAGTAGATAAAAGACAATAGTGCTTTGGTTGAAAGTAAATGACAGTAGATACAAAGACAATAGTGCTTGGCTGAAAGTAAATGACAGTAGATAAAGTATTAATAGTACTTTGCTGAAAGTAAATGATGTAGATACAGACAATAGTGCTTACAGTAAATGACACAGTAGACAAAGACACAAGTATTGATAGTAAAGTGACAGATACAAAGACAATATATGGCTGAGTAAATGACAGTAGATACAAAGACACAGGCTGGTTGAAAGTAAATGACAGTAGATGCTAAAGACAATAGTGCCTGCTGAAAGTAAATGACAGTAGATACAAAGACACAGTGCCTATTGAAAGTAATGACAGTAGATACAAGACAAGAAAGTCAAGGAAAGTAAATGACAGTAGATACAGAAGACAATAGCTTCGCTGAAAGTAAATGATGTTGATACAAAGACAATAGTGCTTCACTGAAAGTAAATGACAGTAGATACCAAAGAACAATAAGTGCTTCGCTGAAAGTAAATGACAGTACAAACAAAGTGCTTGGCTGATAAATGACAGTGCCAAAGACAATAGTGCTTGGCTGAGTAAATGACAGTAGATACAAAGACAATAATTAACGGCTGAAAGTAAATGACAGTAGATACAAAGACAATAGTGCTTCGCTGAAAGTAAAATGACAGTAGATACAAAAGACAATAGTGCTTCGCTGAAGTAAAATGACAGTAGATACAAAGACAATGAGTGCTTCACTGAAAGTAAATGACAGTAGATACAAAGACAAAAGTGCTTGGCTGCTGAAAGTAAATGACAGTAGATACAAAAGAAAGACAATGAGTGCTTCGCTGAAAGTAAATGACAGTAGATTCAAGACAATAGTGCTTCAGTATGAAAGTAAATGACTGGAAGACAGTGAATACAAAAGACAATAGAGTAACTTGAAAGTAAATGACAACGAAGTAGATACAAAGACAATAGTGCTTATTGAAAGTAAAATGACAGTAGATACAAAGACAATAGTGCTTCACTGAAAGTAAATGACAGTAGATTCAAGACAATAGTGCTTCCTTGAAAGTAAATGACAGTAGATGACAATAGTGCTTATTGACAGTAGATACAAAGACAATAGTGCTTGGCTGAAAGTAAATGACAGTAGATACAAAGACAATAGTGCTTGGCTGAAAGTAAATGACAGTAGATACAAAGACAATAGTGCTTGCTGAAAGTAAATGACAGTAGATACAAAGACAATAGTGCTTCGCTGAAAGTAAATGACAGTAGATACAAAGACAATAGTGCTTCACTGAAATGACGATGATACAAAAAGACAATAATTAATGCTTCACTGAAAGTAAATGACAGTAGATACAAAAGGCACAAAAAGTGCTTAGCGGCTGAAAGTAAATGACAGTAGATACAAAGACAATAGTGCTTGGCTGAAAGTAAAAATGACAGTAGATAAATGAAAGACAATAATTAGCTTCGCTGAAAGTAAATGACAGTAGATACAAAAGACAATAGTGCTTGGCTGAAAGTAAATGACAGTAGATACAAAGACAATAGTGCTTCGCTGAAAGTAAATGACAGTAGATACAAAGACAATAGTGCTTCACTGTAAAGTAAATGACAGTAGATACAAAGACAATAGTGCTTCACTGAAAGTAAATGACAGTGATACAAGACAATGTAGATGATTCAAAGACAATAGTGCTTCGCTGAAAGTAAATGACAGTGACAAGTAATGAATACAAAAGACAATAGTGCTTCGCTGAAAGTAAATGACAGTAGATAAAAGACAATAGTGCTTGGGCTGAAAGTAAATGACAGTAGATACAAAGACAATAGTTAACTTCACTGAAAGTAAATGACAGTAGATACAAAGACAATAGTGCTTGGCTGAATACAAAATGACAGTGAAAGAAATGACAAAGATAATAAAGACAATAGTGCTATTGAAAGTAAATGACAGTAGATACAAAGACAATAGTGCTTAGCTGAAAGTAAATGACAGTAGATACAAAAGACAATAGTGCTTCGCTGAAAGTAAATGACAGTAGATACAAAGACAATAGTTATTGACTGAAAGTAAAATGACGAGTAGATACAAAGACAATAGTTAACTACTGAAAGTAAATGACAGTAGATACAAAGACAAAAGTGCTTGCTGAAAGAAATGAAATGACAGAAAGATACAAAGACAATAGTGCTTCACTGAAAGTAAATGACAGTAGATACAAAGACAATAGTGTCACTGAAAGTAATGACAGTAGATACAAAGACAATAGTATTGAAAATAAATGACAGTAGATACAAAGACAATAGTGCTTTGCTGAAAAGTAAATGACAGTAGATACAAAGACAATAGTGCTTCACTGAAAGTAAATGACAGTAGATACAAAGACAATAGTGCTTCACTGAAAGTAAAATGACAGTAGATAAAGACAATAGTGCTGCTGAAAGTAAATGACAGTAGAATAAAGACAATAGTGCTTGAGAAAGTAAAATGACAGTAGATACAAGACAATAGTGCTTAAATGAAAGTAAATGACAGTAGATAAAGAAAATAGTGCTTCGCTGAAAGTAAATGACAGTAGATACAAAGACAATAGTGCTTGGCACCAGTAAATGACAGTAGATAAAGACAATAGTGCTTGGCTGAAAGTAAATGACAGTAGATACAAAAGACAATAGTGTGGCTGAAAGTAAATGACAGTAGATACAAAAGACAATAGTGCTTCACTGAAAGTAAATGACAGTAGATACAAAGACAAGAAAAGCCATTGAAAGTAAATGACAGTAGATACAAAGACAATAGTGCTTCACTGAAAGTAAATGACAGTAGATACAAAGACAATGGTTGGCTGAAAGAAAATGACAGTAGATACAAAGACAATAATTAGCTGGCTGAAAAGTAAATGACAGTAGATACAAAGACAATAGTGCTTGGCTGAAAGTAAATGACAGTAGATACAAAGACAATAGTGTTCACTGAAAGTAAATGACAGTAGATACAAAGACAATAGTGCTATTGAAAAAGATAGTAGATAGTAAAGTGAAAGTAAATAAATGCAGATAAAGACAATAGTGTTTCGGCTGAAAGTAAATGACAGTAGATACAAAGACAATAGTTAACGGCTGAAAAAATAAAATGACAGTAGATAAAAAGACAATAGTGCTTCACTGAAAGTAAATGACAGTAGATGTTAAAAGACAATAGTGCTTGGCTGAAAGTAAATGACAGTAGATACAAAGACAATAGTGCTTGGCTGAAAGTAAATGACAGTAGATACAAAGACAATAGTGCTTCACTGAAAGTAAATGACAGAGATACAAAGACAATAGTGCTTGGCTGAAAGTAAAATGACAGTAGATACAAAATACAATAGTGAAAACACTGAAAGTAAATGACAGTAGATAAAGACAAATAGTGCTTCGGGTTGAAAGTAAATGACAGTAGATACAAAGACAATAGTGCTTTGGGTGAAAGTAAATGACAGTAGATACAAAGACAATAGTGCTTCACTGAAAGTAAATGATAGTGTTTGATGAAAGACAATAGTGCTTCGCTGAAAGTAAAATGACAGTAGATAAGAAAGACAATAGTGCTTGCTGAAAGTAAAATGACAGTAGATAAAGACAATAGTGCTTGGCTGAAAGTAAATGACAGTAGATACAAAGACAATAGTGTTTGGCTGAAAAAGTAAATGACAGTAGATAAAAAGACAATAGTGCTTGGCTGAAAGTAAATGACAGTAGATACAAAGACAATAGTGCTTGGCTGATAGTAAAACAGTAGATACAAAGACAATAGTGCTTGGCTGAAAGTAAATGACAGTAGATACAAAGACAATAGTGCTTCACTGAAAGTAATGACAGATACAAAGACAATAGTGCTTCGCTGAAAGTAAAATGACAGTATACAAAGACAATAGTGCTTATTGAAAGTAAATGACAGTAGATACAAAGACAATATGCTTATTGAAAGTAAATGACAGTAGATACAAAAGACAATAGTGCTTGGCTGAAAGTAAAATGACAGTATAAAGACAAAGAAAATAGTATTGAAAGTAAAATGACAGTAGATACAAAGACAATAAAAGCTTCGCTGAAAGTAAATGACAGTAGATACAAAAGACAATAGTGCTTCACTGAAAGTAAAATGACAGTTGATAAAAGACAATAGTGCTTGGCTGAAAGTAAATGACAGTAGGATACAAAGACAATAGTGCTTCGCTGAAAAATGAAGTAAATGACAGTAGATAAAGACAAGAGGTAAAAGTAAAGACAAGAAAAGCTTCACTGAAAGTAAATGACAGTAGATTCAAAGACAATAAAGCTTCAGTTGAAAGTAAATGACAGTAGATACAAAGACAATAGTGCTTAATGAAAGTAAATGACAGTAGATACAAAGACAAGAGTGTTATTGAAACAGACAGTAGATACAAAGACAATAGTGCTTCTATTGATAGTAAATGAGATGACAATAGACAAAGAAAATGAGTGACATGGCTGAAAGTAAATGACAGATACAAAGACAATAGTGCTATTAAATGACAGTAGATACAAAGACAATAGTGCTTGGCTGAAAGTAAATGACAGTAGATACAAAGACAATAAGTGCTTTGGCTGAAAGTAAATGACAGTATACAAAGACAATAGTGCTTGGCTGAAAGTAAAATGACAGTAGATACAAAGACAATAGTGCTTATTGAAAGTAAATGACAGTAGATAAAGACAAGAAAAGACAATAAAGCTGAAAGTAAATGACAGTAGATAAAGACAATAGTGCTTGGCTGAAAGTAAATGACAGAGATACAAAGACAATAGTGCTTAAATGACAGTTGATAAAAGTGCTTATTGAAAGTAAATGACAGTAGATACAAAGAGCAATAGTGCTGGCTGAAAGTAAATGACAGTAGATACAAAGACAATAGTGCTCACTGATAAAGACAAAATATTGATAGTAAGTGACAGTAGATACAAAGACAATATGCTTATTGAAAGTGAAAATGACAAGTACTGATACAGTAAAGAAGACAATAGTGCTTCGCTGAAAGTAAATGGACAGTAGATACAAGACAATAGTGACAGTAGATACAAAGACAATGAAAGTAAATAAAATGACAGTAGATACAAAGACAATAGATGCATGAAAGTAAATGACAGAGATGACAATAGTAAATGACAGTAGATACAAAGACAATAGTGTTTCAAAGTAATGTAGATACAAAGCAATAGTGCTTGGCTGAAAGTAAATGACAGTAGATACAAAGACAATAGTGCTTCGCTGAAAGTAAATGACAGTAGATACAAAGACACATGAAAATGCTGAAAGCAAATGAGAAAAAGATGAAATAGTGCTTCGCTGAAAGCAATGACAGTAGATACAAAGACAATAGTGCTTCACTGAAAAGTAAAATGACAGTAGATACAAAGACAATAGTGCTTCACTGAAAGTAAATGACAGTATACAAAGACAATAGTGTCATTGAAAGTAAATGACAGTAATAAATTTAGTGCTTCGCTGAAAGTAAATGACAGTAGACATAAAGACAATAGTGCTTGGCTGAAAGTAAATGACAGTAGATGTAACAAAGACAATATTGAAAGTAATGACAGTAGATACAAAGACTGTCAAAAGTAAATGACAGTAGATACAAAGACAATAGTGCTTGGCTGAAAGTAAATGACAGTAGATACAAAAGACAATACAAAGACACAGTGCTGAAAGTAAATGACAGTAGATAAAGATACAAAAGACAATAGACAATAGTGCTTATTGACAGTAGATAAAGAGCAATAATGACAGTAAATGATAGAAGACAATAGTGCTTAAGTAAATGACAGTAGATACAAAGATAGTGCTTCAGAAAGTAAAGACAGTAGAGATAATAAAGACAATAGTGTCGCTGAAAGTAAATGACAGTAGATAAAAACACAATAGAGTGAAAGTTCACAAATAAAGTAAATGTAGATAGTAGAAAGTACAGACACAGTGCTATTGAGTAACAGATAGTAGATAGCACATAGTGTCACTGAAAGTAAATGATAGTAGATGCTGTAAAGACAATAGTGCTATTGGAAAGTAAATGACAGTAGATAATAAAGACAATAGCTGCTGAAAGTAAATGACAGTAGATACAAAGACAATAGTGCTTGCTGAAAGTAAATGACAATAGTAGATACAAAGACAATAGTGCTTGGCTGAAAGTAATGACAGTAGAGATACAAAGACAATAGTGCTTCTCGCTGAAAGTAAATGACAGTAGATAAGGAAGACAATATAAGCTGCTGAAAGTAATGACAGTAGATACAAAGCATATAGTGCTTGGCTGATAGTAAATGACAGTAGATACAAAAGACAATAGTGCTTCTGAAAGTAAATGACAGTAGATACAAAGACAATAGTGCTTCACTGAAAGTAAATGACAGTAGATACAAAGACAATAGTGCTTCGCTGAAAGTAAATGACAGTAGATACAAAGACAATAGTGCTTGGCTGAAAGTAAATGACAGTAGATACAAAGACAATAGTGCTTGCTGAAAGTAAAATGACAGTAGATAAGAAAGACAATAGTAAGCTGAAAAGTAAATGACAGTAGATAAAAGACAATAGTGCTTGGCTGAAAGTAAATGACAGTAGATACAAAGACAATAGTGTTTGGCTGAAAGTAAATGACAGTAGATATAAAGACAATAGTGCTTGGCTGAAAGTAAATGACAGTAGATACAAAGACAATAGTGCTTTGGCTGAAAGTAAAGACAGTAGATACAAAGACAATAGTGCTTGGCTGAAAGTAAAATGACAGTAGATAAAGACAATAGTGCTTGGCTGAAAGTAAATGACAGTAGACAAAAGACAATAGTGCTTAATAAAGTAAATGACACAGTAGATAAAAAGAAATAGTGCTTGGCTGCAATGACAGTAGATACAAAGACAATAGTGCTTATTGAAAGTAAACAGTAGATACAAAGACAATAGTGTCATGAAAAGTAAATGACAGTAGATACAAAGACATTGAAAATGCTTGAAAGTAAATGACAGTAGATATTAAAGACAAGAAAAGTAAGCTGAAAGTAAATGACAGTAGATAAAAGACAATAGTGCTTCACTGAAAGTGTTGATAGTTGATAAAGACAAAAGTGCTTTGCTGAAAGTAAATGACAGTAGATAATAAAGACAATAGTGCTATTGAAAGTAAATGACAGGATAATAAAGACAATAAAAGCTTGGCTGAAAGTAAATGACAGTAGATTCAAAGACAATAGTGCTTGGTTGAAAGTAAATGACAGTAGATACAAAGACAATAGTGCTTGGCTTGATAGTAAATGACAGTAGATAAAGACAATAGTGTTATTGAAAGTAAATGACAGTAGATACAAAGACAATAGTGCTTCAATTGAAAATAAATGACAGTAGAGAAGACAATAGTGTTCGCTGAAAGTAAAATGACAGATAAAGACAATAGTGCTTACTGAAAGTAATGAGTAGATATAAAGACAATAGTGCTTGGCTATTGAAAGTAAATGACAGTAGATACAAAGACAATAGTGCTTGGCTGAAAGTAAATGACAGTAGATAAAAAGACAAGAAGTGCTCTGCTGAAAGTAAATGACAGTAGATAAGACAATAGTGCTTTGGCTGAAATTAAAATGACAGTAGATACAAAGAATAATAGTGCTTGCTGAAATGATAAATGACAAAAGTAGAGTAAACAAAGACAATAAAGTCATGAAAGTAAAATATAGTAGATACAAAGACAATAGTGCTTGGCTGAAAGTAAATGACAGATGACAAAGACACAGTGCTTGGTTGAAAGTAAATGACAGTAGATAAAGACAATAGTGCTGGCTGAAAGTAAATGACAGGATAAAAGACAATAGTGCTTTGGCTGAAAGTAAAATGACAGTAGATAAAAGACAATAGTGTTTCTGAAAGTAAAATGACAGTAGATACAAAAGACAATAGTGTTTTATTGAAAGTAAATGACAGTAGATACAAGACAATAGTGCTTCGCTGAAAGTAAATGAAAGTAGATACAAAGACAATAGTGTTATTGAAAGTAAATGACAGTAGATGGGCAAAGACAATAGTGCTTCGCTGAAAGTAAATGACAGTAGATACAAAGACAATAGTGCTTTGGCTGACAGTAGAAATGACAGTAGAAATTAAAGGACAGTAGATACAGCACAATAGTGCTGGTAAAATGATGTAGATACAAAGACAATAGTGCTTCGCTGAAAGTAAATGACAGTAGATAAAAGACAAAAGTAAGCTGCTGAAAGTAAATGACAGTAGATATAAAGACAATAGTGCTTTACTGAAAGTAAATGACAGTAGATACAAAGACAATAGTGCTTGGCTGAAAGTAAATGACAGTAGATACAATAGTGCTGAAAGTAAATGACAGTAGATAATAAAGACAATAGTAAGCCTGCTGAAAGTAAATGACAGTAGGATACAAAGACAATAGTGCTTGGTTGAAAGTAAATGACAGTAGATAAAGACAATAGTGCTTAAGAAAGTAAATGATAGTAGAGAAAGACAATAAAAGTTTGGCTGAGTAAATGACAGTAGATAAAGACAAGAGTGCTGAAATGATAGTAGATACAGACACAGTAGAGTAACAGATAGTAGATAGCAATAGTGTCACTGAAAGTAAATGATAGTAGAAAAGACAATATGACAAAGTAAATGATAGATACAAAATACAATAGTGAAATTAAATGAAAGATAAATGACAATAATTAGCTTCGCTGAAAGATGACAAAGACAATAGTGCTTGGCTGAAAGTAAATGACAGTAGATACAAAGACAATAATTTCTTCGCTGAAAGTAAATGACAGTAGATGAAGAAAATAGTAAAAGTGACAGTAGATACAAAGACAATAGTGCTTCACTGAAAGTAAATGACAGTAGATAAAGACAATAGTGCCGCTGAAAGTAAATGACAGTAGATACAAAGACAATAGTGCTTCGCTGAAAGTAAATGACAGTAGATAAAGTAAATACAGTAATAAAGACAATAGTGCTTCAAAAGTAAATGACAGTAGATACAAAGACAATAGTGCTTGGCTGAAAGTAAATGACAGTAGATAAAGACAAAGACAATAAAGTGCTTCGCTGAAAGTAAATGACAGTAGATACAAAGACAATAGTGCTTCAGAAAGTAAATGACAGTAGATACAAACAATAGTGCTTATGAAAGTAAATGACAGTAGATACAAAGACAATAGTGCTTCGTTGAAAGTAAATGACAGTAGATACAAAGACAATAGTGCTTGGCTGAAAGTAAATGACAGTAGATACAAAGACAATAGTGCTTATTGAAAGTAAATGACAGTAGATACAAAGACAATAGTGCTTGGCTGAAAGTAAATGACAGTAGATACAAAGACAATAGTGCTTGGCTGAAAGTAAATGACAGTAGATACAAAGACAATAGTGCTTTCGTAAATGACAGTAGATACAAAGACAATAGTGCTTAAAAGTAAATGACAGTAGATACAAAGACAATAAAGTGACTTAAAGACAATAGCTGAAAGTAAATGACAGTAGATACAAAGACAATAGTGCTTGGCTGAAAGTAAATGACAGTAGATACAAAGACAATAGTGCTTGGCTGAAAGTAAATGACAGTAGATACAAAGACAATAGTGCTTCACTGAAAGTAAATGACAGTAGATACAAAAGACAATAGTGCTTCGCTGAAAGTAAATGACAGTAGATAAAAAGATAATAGTGCTTCTGCTGAAAGTAAATGACAGTAGATACAAAGACAATAGTGCTTCGCTGAAAGTAAATGACAGTAGATACAAAGACAATAGTGCTTCGCTGAAAGAATGACAGTAGATAAAAGACAATAGTGCTTCGCTGAAAGTAAATGACAGATAGATACAAAAGACAATAGTGCTTCAAGATAATAGTGCTGAAAGTAAATGACAGTAGATACAAAGACAATAGTGCTTGGCTGAAAGACAATAGTAATGACAGACAATACAAAGACAATAGTGCTTGGCTGAAAGTAAATGAGTAGATAAAAGACAATAGTGCTTGGCTGAAAGTAAATGACAGTAGATACAAAAGACAATAGTGCTTGGCTGAAAGTAAATGACAGTAGATACAAAGACAATAGTGCTTCATTGAAAGTAAATGACAGTAGATACAAAGACAATAGTGCTTGGCTGAAAGTAAATGACAGATACAAAAGACAATAGTGCTTGGCTGAAAGTAAATGACAGTAGATACAAAGACAATAGTGCTTCACTGAAAAGTAAATGACAGTAGATACAAAGACAATAGTGCTTCACTGAAAGTAAATGACAGTAGATACAAAAGACAATAGTGCTTATTGAAAGTAAATGACAGTAGATAAAGACAATAGTGCTTATTGAAAGTAAATGACAGTAGATACAAAGACAATAGTGCTTCGCTGAAAGTAAATGACAGTAGATACAAAGACAATAGTGCTTCGCTGAAAGTAAATGACAGTAGATAATAAAGACAATAGTGCTTCCTTGAAAGTAAATGACAGTAGATAGAAAGACAACTAGTAAATGACAGTAGATACTGAAAGTAAATGACAGTAGATACAAAGACAATAGTGCTTCGCTGAAAGTAAAATGACAGTAGATACAAAGACAATAGTGCTTAACGAAAGTAAATGACAGTAGATACAAAGACAATAGTGCTTCGCTGAAAGTAAATGACAGTAGATACAAAGACAATAGTGCTTGGCTGAAAAGTAAATGACAGTAGATACAAAGACAATAGTGCTTCACTGAAAGTAAATGACAGTAGATACAAAGACAATAGTGTTTCGCTGAAAGTAAATGACAGTAGATACAAAGACAATAGTGCTTTGGCTGAAAGTAAATGACAGTAGATACAAAGACAATAGTGCTTCGCTGAAAGTAAATGAAAGATACAAAAGACAATAGTGACAGTAGATACAAAGACAATAGTGCTTCACTGAAAGTAAATGACAGTAGATACAAAGACAATAGTGCTTGGCTGAAAGTAAATGACAGTAGATACAAAGACAATAGTGTTCTTGAAAGTAAAATGACAGTAGATACAGACAATAGTGCTTATTGAAAGTAAATGACGAGATACAAAGACAATATGACAGTAGATACAAAGACAATAGTGCTTCAGACAATAGTGAAAAAGTAAATGACAGTAGATAAAAAGACAATAGTGCTTCACTGAAAGTAAATGACAGTAGATAGACAATAGTGCTTGGCTGAAAGTAAATGACAGTAGATACAAAGACAATAGTGCTTCACTGAAAGTAAATGACAGTAGATACAAAGACTATAGTGCTTCAGCACAAGAAAGTAAATGACAGTAGATACAAAGACAATAGTGCTTATTGAAAGTAAATGACAGTAGATACAAAAGACAATAGTGCTTGGCTGAAAGTAAATGACAGTAGATACAAAGACAATAGTGCTTCGCTGAAAGTAAATGACAGTAGATACAAAGACAATAGTGCTTCGCTGAAAGTAAATGACAGTAGATACAAAGACAATAGTGCTTGGCTGAAAGTAAATGACAGTAGATACAAAGACAATAGTGCTTCGCTGAAAGTAAATGACAGTAGATACAAAGACAATAGTGCTTGGCTGAAAGTAAAAATGACAGTAGATACAAAGACAATAGTGCTTCACTGAAAGTAAATGACAGTAGATACAAAGACAATAGTGCTTCACTGAAAGTAAATGACAGTAGATACAAAGACAATAAAGTGCTTGGCTGAAAGTAAATGACAGTAGATACAAAGACAATAGTGCTGGCTGAAAGTAAATGACAGTAGATACAAAAGACAATAGTGCTTGGCTGAAAGTAAATGACAGTAGATACAAAGACAATAGTGATAGATACAAAGACAATTGGCTGAAAGTAAATGACAGTAGATACAATAGACAATAGTGCTTCACTGAAAGTAAATGACAGTAGATAAAAGACAAGAGTGTTTCGCTGAAGAAAGTAAAATGACAGTAGATACAAAGACAATAGTGTAACGCTGAAAGTAAATGACAGTAGATAAAAAGACAATAGTGCTTCGCTGAAAGTAAATGACAGTAGATAAAAAACAATAGTGCTTGGTTGAAAGTAAAATGACAGTAGATACAAAGACAATAGTGCTTCACTGAAAGTAAATGACAGTAGATACAAAGACAATAGTGCTTGAAAATGTTGAAAGTAAATGACAGTAGATTCAAAGACAATAGTGTCGCTGAAAGTAAATGACAGTAGACAAAGACAATAATTGCTTCGCTGAAAGTAAATGACAATAGTAGATAAAAGACAATAGTGCTTCGCTGAAAGTAAATGAAATGACGGATACAAAGACAATGAATAGATAAATGACAGTAGATACAAAGACAATAATTTCGCTGAAAGTAAATGACAGTAGATACAAAGACAATAGTGCTTGGCTGAAAGTAAATGACAGTAGATACAAAGACAATAGTGCTTGGCTGAAATTAAATGACAGTAGATACAAAGACAATAGTGCTTAGCTGAAAGTAAATGACAGTAGATACAAAGACAATAGTGCTTCGCTGAAAGTAAATGACAGTAGATACAAAGACAATAGTGCTTCGCTGAAAGTAAATGACAGTAGATACAAAGACAATAGTGCTTCACTGAAAGTAAATGAAGAAATGACAAGATAAAGAGACAATAGTGCTTCGCTGAAAGTAAATGACAGTAGATAAAGACAATAGTGCTTCGCTGAAAGTAAATGACAGTTGATACAAAGACAATAGTGCTTCACTGAAAGTAAATGACAGTAGATACAAAGACAATAGTGCTTAGGCTGAAAGTAAATGACAGTAGATACAAAGACAATAGTGCTTCACTGAAAGTAAATGACAGTAGATAAAGACAATAGTGTTTAAAAGTAAATGACAGTAGATACAAAGACAATAGTGCTTGGCTGAAAGTAAATGACAGTAGATAAAAAGACAATATTGCTTCGCTGAAAGTAAATGACAGTAATACAAAGACAATAGTGCTTCACTGAAAGTAAAAATGACAGTAGATACAAAGACAATAGTGTTCTTATTGAAAGTAATGACAGTAGATACAAGACAATAGTGCTTGGCTGAAAGTAAATGACAGTAGATACAAAGACAATAGTGCTTTGGTAAATGACAGTAGTAAAAGACAATAGTGCTTGGACAGTAGATAGATACAAAGATAATAAAGACAATAGTGCTTCGCTGAAAGTAAATGACAGTAGATACAAAGACAATAGTGCTTCGCTGAAAGTAAATGACAGTAGATACAAAGACAATAGTGTTCACTGAAAGTAAATGACAGTAGATACAAAGACAATAGTGCTTGGCTGAAAGTAAATGAAATGACAGTAGATACAAAAGACAATAGTGTTGGCTGAAAGTAAATGACAGTGAATACAAAAGACAATAGTAAATGACAGTAGATAAAGACAATAATTAGCGCTGAAAGTAAATGACAGTAGATACAAAGACAATAATTAGTGCTTAGATACAAAGACAATGGTGCCTTCCTGAAAGTAAATGACAGTAGATATAAAGACAATAGTGCTTGGCTGAAGTAAATGACAGTAGATACAAAGACAATAGTGCTTCACTGAAAAGTAATGACCCAGTAGATGATACAAAGACAATAGTGCTTCTAAAGTAAATGACAAGTAGATACAAAGACAATATTAGTGCTTGGCTGAAAGTAAATGACAGTAGATACAAAAGACAATAGTGCTTCGCTGAAGAAGTAAATGACAGTAGATACAAAGACGACTAGTGCTTCGCTGAAAGTAAATGACAGTAGATACAAAGACAATAGTGCTTGGCTGAAAGTAAATGACCGATACAGATACAAGACAATAGTGCTTGGCTGAAAGTAAATGACCGAGTAGATACAAAGACAATGGTGCTTGGCTGAAGTAAATGACGGTAGATACAAAGACAATAATTGGCTGAAGTAAATGACAGTAGATACAAAGACAATAGGTGCTTCGCTGAAAGTAAATGACAACAGTAGATACAAAAACCAATAATTAACTTGGCTGAAAGTAAATGACAGTAGATACAAAAGACAATAGTGCTTGGCTGATAGTAAGTGACAGTAGATACAAAGACAATAGTGCTTGGCTGAAAGTAAATGACGTAGATAAAAGACAATAGTGCTTATTGAAAGTAAATGACAGTAGATACAAAGACAATAGTGCTTGGCTGAAAGTAAATGACAGTAGATACAAAGACAATAGTGCTTTGCTGAAAGTAAATGACAGTAGATACAAAAGACAATAGTGCTTAATTGAAAGTAAATGACAGTAGATACAAAGACAATAGTGCTTCGCTGAAAGTAAATGACAGTAGATACAAAGACAATAGTGCTTCACTGAAAGTAAATGACAGTAGATACAAAGACAATAGTGCTTCACTGAAAGTAAATGACAGTAGATACAAAGACAATAGTGCTTGGCTGAAAGTAAATGACAGTAGATACAAAGACAATAGTGCTTCGCTGAAAGTAAATGACAGTAGATACAAAGACAATAGTGCTTGGCTGAAAGTAAATGACAGTAGATACAAAGACAATAGTGCTTGGCTGAAAGTAAATGACAGTAGATATGACAATAGTGCTTAGAAAGTAATGACAGTAGATACAAAGACAATAGTGCTTGGCTGAAAGTAAATGACAGTAGATACAAAAGACAATAATTAGATTCGCAATAAAAAGCCAATGACAGTGAAATACAAATAAAGACAATAGTGCTTGGCTGAAAGTAAATGACAGATATACAAAGACAATAGTGTGGCTGAAAGTAAATGACAGTAGATACAAAGACAATAGTGCTTTGGCTGAAAGTAAATGACAGATACCAAAAGACAATAGTGCTTGGCTGAAAGTAAATGACAGTAGATACAAAGACAAGTAATGACAGCAAAGATGGTGCTTATTGTGCAATATAGTAGATACAAAGATAATGGTGCTTCACTGAAAATGACCAGTAGATACAAAGACAATAGTTAACTTGGCTGAAAGTAAATGACAGTAGATACAAAGACAATGAATGCTTCGAAAGTAAACATGTAGAGCAAAAAGACAATACAAAACAATGAGTAAATGTGACTTGGCTGAAAGTAAATGACAGTAAATACTAAAAAGACAATAGTGCTTGGCTGAAAGTAAATGACAGTAGATACAAAGACAATAGTGTGCTTGCACGAAAAGTAAATGACATGTAGATACAAAGACAATAGTGCTTCGCTGAAAGTAAATGACAGTATACAAAGACAATAGTGCTTTTCTGGCTGAAAATGACAGTAGATACAAAGACAATAGTGTTGGCTTGAAAGTAAATGACAGTAGATACAAAAGACAATAGTGCTTGGCTGAAGTAAATGACCATAGATACAAAGACAATAATGACAGTAGATAAAAGACAATAGTGCTTGGCTGAAAGTAAATGACAGTAGATAAAAGACAATAGTGCTTATTGAAAGTAAATGACAGTAGATACAAAGACAATAGTGCTTGCTGAAAGTAAATGACAGTAGATACAAAGACAATAGTGATACTTGAAAGTAAATGACAGTAGATAAAAGACAATAGTGCTTGGCAGTAAATGACAGTAGAAAGACAATAGTGCAAAATGACAGTAGATGACAATTATTGAAAGTAAATGAGTAGATACAAAGACAATAGTGCTAAAGTAAATGACAGTAGAGACAATAGTGCTTCGTAAATGACAGTAGATACAAAGACAATAGTGCTTGGCTGAAAGTAAATGACAGTAGATACAAAGACAATAGTGCTTAATGAAAGTAAATGACAGTAGATACAAAGACAATAGTGCTTGCTGAAAGTAAACAGACAGTAGAAAGTAAATGACAAGATAAGACAATAGTGCTTGGCTGAAAGTAAATGACAGTAGATACAAAGACAATAGTGCTTGGCTGAAAGTAAATGACAGTAGATACAAAGACAATAGTGCTGAAAGTAAATGACAGTAGATACAAAGACAATAGAAAAGTAAATGACAGTAGATAAAAGACAATAGTGCTTCGCTGAAAGTAAATAAAGACAGATACAAAGACAATAGTGCTTATTGAAAGTAAATGACAGTAGATACAAAGACAATAGTGCTTGGCTGAAAGTAAATGACAGTAGATACAAAGACAATAGTGCTTGGCTGAAAGTAAATGACAGTAGATACAAAGACAATAGTGCTTCGCTGAAAGTAAATGACAGTAGATACAAAGACAATAGTGCTTCGCTGAAAGTAAATGACAGTAGATACAAAGACAATAGTGCTTCGCTGAAAGTAAATGACAGTAGATACAAAGACAATAGTGCTTATTGAAAGTAAATGACAGTAGATACAAAGACAATAGTGCTTTGGCTGAAAGTAAATGACAGTAGATAAAAAGAATAGTGCTTGGCTGAAAGTAAATGACAGTAGATACAAAGACAATAGTGCTTGGCTGAAAGTAAATGACAAGATAAATGACAGTAAATGACAGTAGATACAAAAGAAAGTGCTTGGCTGAAAGTAAATGACAGTAGATACAAAGACAATAGTGCTTGGTGAAAGTAAATGTCAGTAGATACAAAGACAATGGTCTTCGCTGAAGTAAATGACAATGAATACAAGACAATAGTGTGGCACAAGTAAATGACAGTGAATCTACAAAAGACAATAGTGCTTGGCTGATGGTAAGTGACAGTGAATACAAGACAATGGTGCTTGGCTGAAGTAAATGACAGTAGATACAAAAGACCAATGAATTAGCTTGGCTGAAAGTAAATGACAGTAGATACAAAAGACAATAGTGCTTGGCTGAAAGTAAATGACGTCAGGATACAAAGACAATAGTGCTTAAAGAAAGTAAAATGACAGTGAATACAAAGAAGACAATAGTGCTTGGCTGAGCAAATGACAGTAGATACAAAGACAATAGTGCTTCGCTGATAGTAAATGACAGTAGATACAAAGACAATAGTGCTTCACTGAAAGTAAATGACAGT